CCCAAACCATTCCATGGTTCTGTAACCTCATTAGCAGATGTTGGTGTCGTGTTGGGAAGTTACAGTTTTTGCTTGACTTCTCACAGACCTGGAAGTTTTATGTGAAGCTTTTCTGATGTTCCACCTCTAAACACTTGTTTCTTTTCTCAGATTCAAATATATTTTATGTACTTAGAAGCAAATTTATTTCCTGCATTTGCTAGGGTTTTTTTTTCTCTTTTCCCAACAAATTAGCACCCATTACAGTTTGAATACTGAAAATCCCATGTTGTGACTTTTTTGAACACTTAACAGATTTTACTTAGCAAACCCTTCTTTTCTAGCCCTTTCTAGAGCAATTATGGCATTAGCTCCCTCAGACCTGTATTCTGAGCTCCTTGCAATGGCCTTTCTTTTCCTGCGGTCTCCTCCTGTTCTGCAGGCATGTTTAGGGTGGCTGTTGGCCCTTTGGTTGTCCGTTGGAAGAGAATCTGGAATAGGCTATATGAAGTATTCTCTCTGGCCTGGTAACCACTTTTCTTTCTGGTATTTCTTCTAGTTATTTTGGGCATGACCTTGGCTTTTTTATCTTGGCCTTTCTACACCCAGTTTTTGGAAGCAGGCTTCTAGTTTTTCAGGAACACGCCATACACTCCTTCCAAACTTCCTCAAGAAGTAGGGCCTGCAGAGAGTAGCCTTCTTTCCTCTGCGCACGTGCCTCGGTGAGCACATCCATCCCGTGCCAGGAATGAGGCAGGAGGTCTGTAGAGAGTAATGCAGCATGTTTTATTTTTCTCCTCAAGTGTCAAAGGCCATTGAGGTGGTACAGTGATCTTGGATGTTTGTATTTACTAACTGTGGTGTGTGTATCTCTCTTGAGGACCATTGCTCTGTAGTATAACTTGCTCTCTGTGTTTTGTCAGTGTGGCAGCTGTACTTAAAATGGGTTTAAAATCATGACCTTGATTAAAGTAAGTGTGGTGTTTTGCTGAGCGCAGGCTTCAGTGGAGGACTGTTCAGTCTCCTACCAATGGGGTATTTTAAATGACAGTGTCTTTTACAACAAACAAAATAATCCCCCTCACCGCCCCAACCTTAATGTTTCTCATTCTTTTAACAGAAACAATAGAAAACTCACAGGGAGCTTATCAGGAGGCATTTGATATCAGCAAGAAGGAGATGCAGCCAACACATCCGATTCGCTTGGGTCTAGCTCTTAACTTCTCTGTATTTTATTATGAGATTCTCAACAATCCTGAGCTTGCCTGTACGCTGGCAAAGACAGTAAGTTACTGGGTTTTTTCCTTCCGTACGCCTGCCGGGACGGTAGAAGAGTTTATGCTTCGATGAGACGAACGATTATTCCCTAGAGTTCGCGTTCCTGTGTAATGTGTCTGGTTTCCAAGCTCATCCTGTTAGTGGGACTAGAGGGGTGCAAGCAGGCTGCAGTTATGACGTGACTTACACTTTCAGCAACACGATGAGCTTTTATTATGCCTTTGTTACGCTTCTGTTCAAATACAGCAATTCAGGACGTTAGCTTTGGGGTTTTTTTTAAGTTACCTTTACCACTAGGTTCAGCTTCTGGTTGTTTAATGGGCAGTTCATGGAAAGTCTAAAGATGGTTTAATTATTCTAGGCGTTCGATGAGGCTATTGCAGAACTTGATACACTGAACGAAGACTCATACAAAGACAGTACTCTCATCATGCAGTTGCTTAGAGACAACCTAACAGTAAGTTGCCTTTTTGTGTGCTATCTGGTTCTGTAACCACCCGTTTGCTTACTCGGGCTGGATCTGTGATGAAAAAACCCCGTTTCGCTCTAGCGAGAAGCGTAGCGAGGGCAGCAGCCCTCTTCGTAACTCGCTCCGGACGTGGCGTCAGTGCCTGTCGGCAGCTGCACTCCGTCTCATCGGAAGTAACGGCATGGATTGCTCATGTTCTTCCCCCTCCGTGGAGGGGGAGAAGGTGCGTTCAGCTACCTTAATGTGCGAGATGGGACAAGGGGTCAAAAGAGAAGTCTGTGACCTGTCGGGGATTCTTACTCAGACTTCGGTGACTCCCTCAGAAGTGAGGTGACTCCTGTTGTACGTCCAGCGCAGCTTGCTGTATTCATTTTCCTGATTCTCATTAAAAGATCTGGAACTTCAGTGCATTTAGAATGAAATCAGTGCATGTTTGAGTATGTATTGTAATGATCAACTGTGTAAGAAAGTGCCTAACTGAAGCATGAGGTTCTATTAAATATGTAACTAAGGGAATTTCTTAGGGACGGTCCTCTGGATACTCACGGCATTTGCAAAATAATAAATACAGCAACATTTATTATTCTGCAATACTTCAGTAGAAGTCTCTTACTAGCCCTATGAAATGCTTAGCTGCAGGAACCAAAATGGTAATCCTCGCTTCGGGATTCTGACTGTGGCTTTTGAAATGGATGTTACTCATGCGGCTGCCCTTCATCCAGACTTGTAGAATGATGTAGGATCGATGATGCAGCTCACTACTGAGCACCTCAGTCTGGACCTGTTCAGAGCACTATCGGCTCTGCCTCAGACACCCGAGGGGCACAGCGGGCTGTGCACGGGCGACTAGGTCACCTCTCTCTGAGGAAGGTCTGGAGCCAGGGCTGTGCAGCTCCGCTGTGCTGGTACTGTGTAGGCATCCTGAAGTGTAACTCCTTGTCACGGAGCGGGTGGTGAGGCACTGGAACGGGTTGCCCAGCGAAGCTGTGGATGCCCCATCCCTGGAAGTGTTCAAGGCCAGGCTGGATGAGGCTTTGAGCAACCTGGTCTAGTGGAAGGTGTCCCTGCCCATGGCAGGGGGGTTGGAACTAGATGGTCTTTAAGGTCCCTTCCAACCCAAACCATCCTGTGATCACCTCTATACAGCCAGCAGTTGTCCCTTTCTGGAAGTAAAGCTGCGCCTCTGAAAGCTGACGCTGTTTTTCTTTCCTTTCTAGTTATGGACATCAGACAGTGCAGGAGAAGAATGTGATGCTGCAGAAGGTGCAGAGAACTAACCTGCGCGTGGGGCGTCGTTCTCCCTTTCCTCCTCGAGAAACCTTTTTACACGTCTCCATTCCTTATAGCTCCACTTGGATTTCCTATAGCAAAGAAAACCCATCCATGTGTATGGAAATCAATTTATAGTCTTTTCACACTGCAGCTTTGGGAAAACTCCATTCCTTGATTTGTGTTTGTCCTGGCCTTCCTGGTGTGCGGTTACTGCTGTAGAAAAGTATTAATAGCTTCATTTCATATAAACATAAGTAACTTCCAGACACTTATGTAGCGGACTAAGGTGTACCTGGTATTTAAAAACGAATCTGAACCAGTTCCTGCCAGTTGACTGTGTTTTGTATTACAGTAAGACATGAAAATGTAGTTAATTGCAACTAAAGAGTGTTCCACATACATAGCTTTTAATTCTCCACATTCCCTCCTTCCGCAGGGTTTCCTTTCCATAATTGACTTTCACGTGCTACTGCGTATCCTTTCAGTAGGAATATGGAGGTGTTGGGGCAGATCAAGTCGAGCATTTCTAGTCTGGAAAACGACAGATTGAGTCGCTTCCCGTATCATGTAATACAGAAGCTTGTGTGGTTGAAAACAGGGGCTTCTCTTAACCTTCAGTTGCTGCTGTTTGAGTTGATATCCCTTCCCAATAAAAGTTCACTTACACTCCTGCTCTGTAGTTCTGGTATTCACTTTACTACGTATTAGAAGCAGCATGTTACTGCCGGAGTACAGGCAGTGCTTTTTGGCAGCCTGAAGTGCATGTCCTTTCTTAATACACTGGAATGGGAAAACCAATTGAAGTTCACATGTCCAAGTATCAAATTTAGTACTTTTCCATGCAGGTTTGTGCACATGTGAGAAGGTGTCAAGTTCGTCCAGTGATTGTTATTTAGAGAGTTTGGACCACTATTGTGTGTTGCTAATCATTGACTGTAGTCCCAAAAAAGCCTTGTGAAAATGTTATGCCCTCTGTAACAGCAAAGTAACATTAAATAAAATTACATTTTATAAACCACTTACTGTTGGTTTGTACCAATTCCGTGTCATCCACGCTTAAGGGCTAAACTTAACATTTTGGGATCGGTGCTAGAGGTGACTTTCTCAAAGCCAGAGCATTCTTCTAAAAACTCTGCTCGTGTCTGAACCCTAGCAGTGTGCGTTGTACGCAAGTGCCGTGGGTAGCCTGGTGTGTGGCCTTCGGAATGACTGAAGCTGCCTCAGCTAATGTCTTCGCCGGAATGACCTAGGAAAAAGTAGCCAAGTGCTTGATGCTCTTCTGTGGCTTGTAAATTTGGTCATCCAAGTCGCGCCTTGTTTTGTAATCCCTGGAAGGTCCCAGTCTGCCCTCCCACTGTGTCTGCTTTCTCCCGCTGATGCTTATCATTACAGTGTTCCAGCCCCTCCCGTAGAGGCGCGGAGGGGTTGGTCCTGCTCTAGAGCCTTAGTTGTGTGCTGCCGCATCGTAATCTGCTTTCTGTTGTTCTGAGGCTGCTTTTGGTATTCCTGCTTCCCCCTGCTTCTGGAGCTTTTTGCAATAGTACGTTGCTCTGCCTTTTTTTGTCTCCTCTAGAGCACTTAGGAGTTTTTTTCCACAAATCTCTTAGTTTCCCATGTTGGTCGGTTTTTTGATGAAAATATAACTCCTCCTAGTGTCCTGGCTAGGGCAGGATGTGACGTCATGAACCAGGGCACGTCCTAGCAGGCTTCTGATGGTACGTCTCCCACTTTCCATGAGTGTGCACAACGAGTTCCCACAACGAAGCTGTTGGGGTGACATGAGGGGCTTTTTAAACCCATTGCATCCACCCCGCTTTCTTCCTGCCCCCGCTGAATTGCTGTCAGGTATCGTGTGGCAGGGTTCTGCGTAAACCCCTCTGCTTCTTAATTGGTGATGCAGTTTCATCACTTCTTACTGGTTATTTGTTTCATTAAGGAATTCGGTTCCCCAGTGCTCCTGTCTCCAGGAACAATGCTTCCGTGCGGGCTGCCCACTCGCCGAGGAGTTTGCTTCCCGTGCCGTTTCCTGGAGTGCCGTCCTAGCGTGTGCTGTGCCGTCGGCTAACGCCGCGCCGCCTTCCCTCCTCTCGCAACGCAGCGAGAGCGACGTCGGTTGTGCTCGCAGGAACAGCACCTGGGCCTCGTGTCGGGATGAGAGCTTAAGGTACTGAATGCTCTAATGTCCCTCGAGCTGGGCGCGGTCGAACTGGCGCTTGGTCATCCTGTCTACATTTTGGGCAAAAAAAATGAGTGTTGAAACGCCAAGGTCGGCTCTTGAGTTAATCATACTGAATGCGGCGGTACCTTTTCTCATGCTGTTACACATAAATGGCCCAATTCTGGAGGGAACAAAAGGTGTAGGGGAATAGGATGATGGTACAAAAAAGGGATAGACTGTAATTCCCAAAATGACTATGCCTGCTCTCCCCCTCCCAGGTGAATTCCATAATCAGTGCAATGCTCAGAATAACGAGGTGCGTTCATAGAATCACAGAAGGGTTGGGGTGGGAAGGCACCTGAAAGATCATCTAGTTCCACCCCCCCTGCCATGGGCAGGGACCCCTTCCACTAGACCAGGTTGCTCAAAGCCTCATCCAGCCTGGCCTTGAACACTTCCAGGGATGGGGCATCCACAGCTTCTCTGGGCAACCTGTGCCAGTGCCTCACCACCCTCTCTGTGAAGAATTTCTTCCTGACATCTAATCTAAACCTCCCTGATATCAATTTATACCCATTACCCCTTGTCCTATCACTACAGGCTCTTGTAAAAAGTCCTCTCCCAGCACCCTTGTAGGCCCCTTCAGATACTGGAAAGCTGCAATGAGGTCTCCTCGGAGCCTCCTCTTCTCCAGGCTGAACAAGCCCAATTCTTGCAGCCTTTCAGCATAGGAGAGGTGCTCCAGCCCTCTGAGCATCTTCGTGGCCTCCTCTGGACTCGCTCCAAGTGGTCAATATTCTTCTGATATTGAGGGCTCCACAGCTGGACGCAGTATGTGGTTTTGTGGCTTCCAGTTCCAGGAGGTAACTTGCACTTACGTGCTGCTGCAGCTCATGTAAGAGGATGTGCCCCGCAGCTTGACAGGCTGATGCCCTGTCATGGTTTAACTCCCGCTAGCAAAACTCCACGAAGCCGCTCTCACATATCCCACTCTCCTCCAGCAAGGGGGAGAATTGGAGGAAAAAG